TAAAAGTGTCCGGCTCTATAAATGTCCGATCGAGTGCGCCAAAATCATGAAGCTCTTGTGCCAATGTTCTAATTTAAAAACATTTCTAAAATATACGCCATTACCAGAGTTACATAACTACTGTAGTGGTAAGGGGCGGACAGAGGCGATCAGGAGAAAGAGGACAGATTTCGGATGATCTCAGTGGAAGATTACCTTAGATTTGGCATACCCAGGAGTAAGCATGCTTAACTCCATGGCACACATATCTCACAAATATGCAGCCTCTCGGCTAGGGGCAGACTGACCATTTGGAAACTCAGGCACTGCCCGAGGGCCCGGGGTCAGTATGGGGCCCCATGAGATGCCCCTGGTACCTTTTTCATAGGCTTGTTTGAGTTTGGGCAAGGACACAGGGGCCCCATTATCCCCTAGTGCCCGGGGGCCCCATGAGTTGTCAGTCCGCCCCTGCTCTTGGGCTGGACCTTGACGCTGACAGGCCACATATTTGCATACCCAATATAAACAAACATGTGCCGAGAGTGCATGACCTGCGTGCTCCCGACACATTTACCAGAGCCTCACGGAAAGGTCCCGATTGCTACATACGATCGAGAGCTTTCCAATCATGTGACCGCTGTGACAGCCAATCATGGCGGTCACAAGACCCTAAACCCCACCCTGCCTCCCAGCTTCACAAATCCCTTAAAGGCCTGGGAGGCTCCAGGGGGTTAAAGCTGCCGCACCACCATGTGCCAAAGTGATAAATACACATGCACCACTTAAAAGTGGTTGTAAAGGCTTGAGGTATTTTATCTTCATGTATTCTATGCATGAAGGCAAAAAAAACCTTCTGTGTGCTGCTCCCCCCACAGTCCCCCCAATATTCACCTAATCTCCCCCTCGATCCAGCGATGTGCACAGGAGCCTTGGCTGTCCTGGTTCTCTCTCATTGGCTCCCACTGCTGTCAATCACAGCCAATAAGGAGACAGTGGGTGGCGAGCTGAGGCTCTATGTGTCTTATGAATGCATAGAGCAGGGCTCAGGAGCAAGCACACACCAGTGCCCCCATAGCAAGCCCCATGCTATTGAAAGCACTGGTCGAGGGGGAGGAGCCAGGGGCACTGGCAAGGGACCTGAAAAGAGGAGGATTGGGTCTGCTCTGTGCAAAACCACTGCACAGAGCAGGAAAGTATAACATATTTGTTTTTAATTTATGCAGGAAATCCTAATCAAAGCAAAAATAAACTTTTGCTTCATGATCCCCAGCAGGTTTTTGCACCACATATTAGCACATTATGGCAGACTTACCTGAGAAACAAAGCCCTCCAGCGCTGCGGTGTCAATTTTCCAGCTGGTCCTGAGCGTTTCCACTGAGGGGTGGCAACAACAAGGGATTATAACCCTGTGTGCAATCATTTATAATTAGAACAGGATGTAAATAATGAAAGAGAATGGAATTCCCCAGACAGCAGAGTCTACAAAGAGGAACTACGTGATCAATGGGAAGAATAATAAGGAATAAGTGATTGAGATATATATATATATATATATATATTCACACACATATATAAATCATTGGAATCAGGTTTTCCAATCCCCTCCATCGCCACAGGTGTATAAAATCAAGCTCCTAGATTGTAAGCTCCAAGGATCAGGGACATCTTTTTCCCTCTTGTATTGAACTGTATTGTTGCTGTATTGTCCCCCTCTATATTGTAAAGCACTGAGCAAACTGTTGGCGGGTATATAAATTCTGTATAATAATATAATAATAAGCACCTAGGCATGCAGACTGCTTCTACAAACATTTGTGAAAGAATGGGGTCGCTCTCAGGAGCTCAGTGAATTCAAGCGTGGTCCCGTGATAGGTTGCCTCCTGTGCAATAAGTCCATCCGTGACATTTCCTGCCTACTAAATATTCCAGTCAACTGTTAATGGTATTATAACAAAGTGGAAGCAACTGGGAACAACAGCAACTCAGCCATGAAGTGGTAGGCCACGTGAAAATGACTGAGCGGGGTCAGTGCATGTTGAAGCGCACAGTACACAGAAGTTGCCAACTGTCTGCAGAGTCAATAGCTAAAGACCCCCAAACTTCGTGTGGCCTTCAGATTAGCACAATGGCAGTATGTAGAGAGCTTCATAGAATGGGTTTCCATGGCCAAGCAGCTGCATCCAAGCCTTACATCACCAAGTGCAATGCAAAGTGTCGGATGCAGTGGTGTAAAGACTATTAGAGCAGTGGAGACGTGTTCTCTGGAGTGATGAATCACGCTTCTCTGTCTGGAAATCCGATGAACATTTTGGTTTGGAGGGCCCAGGGATTTATGGTGTTGGGTTATTTTTCAGGGGTTGGGTTTGCCCCCTAGTTCCAATGAAGGGAACGCTTAAGGCATCAGCATACCAAGACATTTTGGACAATTTCATTCTCCCAACTTTGTGGGAAGAGTTTGGGGATGGCCCCTTCCTGTTCCAACAATGACTGCGCACCAGTGCAACAAAGCAAGGTCCACAAAAGACATGGATGAGTGAGTTTGGGGTGTTGGAGGAACTTGACTGGCCTGCACAGAAGCTCCATTGACCCTCACCTGATAGAACATCTTTGGGATGAATTAGAGAGAGATACTGCGGCAACTGGTCTCCTCCCCCGACATCAGTGTCTGACCTCACAAATCCTGGAAGAATGGTCAAACCTTCCCATAGACACCCTCCTAAACCTTTTGTGGACAGCCTTCCCCAGAATGAGAGTTGAAGCTGTTTATAGCTGCAAAGGCGGGGCCAACGCAATATTGAACCCTACGCGACGAAGACTGGCGATTACTATAATGGTTCATGTGTGTGTAAAGGCCGACATATACTTTTGGCGAAATATAGTGTATAATATATATATAATATAAACATATGACAATTAACAATAAATTAATACAGAATAAATAGATGATTAATAATGTATTATATGAATGTAAGAGGCCTCCATGGGTAGGATAGTAAACGAGTTCAGTTCCCCCGGTAGGATATAATGGGACAGTTCCCACGGTGAGATAGAATGGTCTCAGTTCCCCACAGTGAGATTAAATTGGGCAGTATTCACAACGTAAGGATAATTAATGGGTCGGGGGAGGTCAGTTCCCACGGTGAGATAAATTGGGCAGTAAAATTCCCACGGTGAGATATATAAGGATCTGTTCCCACGGTGAGATATAAGAGGTCTCCAGCTTCCCTCGGGGTGCTCGAGATATAAGGGTCATTTCCCACGGTGAGATATAAGGGTCAGTTCCAACGGTGGAGATATATAGGGTCAGTTCCCATACGGTTGAGATATATAGGGTCCAGTTCACCTCGGTGAGATATAAGGGTCAGTTTCCCACGGTTGAGATATATAGGGTCAGTTCCCACGAGTGATGGGGGGGGGGGGGGGGGGGGTGGGGGGGGGGGGGGGGGGGGGGGGGGGGGGGAGGTGAGATATATAGGGTCAGTTCCCCCGGTTGAGAATATAATGGTCAGTTACCCCCCTGTTAGATATTAATGGTCAGTTCCCCCCAAATGAGGATATAATTGACAGTCGTTCCCACACTGCAATGACGTATATATACATAGAATTGTATGTATGTGTTTGTTCATGGTGTCCCCTATGTAGGACGCACAGCTAATGACAACAAACCTGTTCCCTCCTCTCTCATCACACGACGACACCACCCACCCCCCCAGATGCAACCTGTGGCCCCTTCCACTTTCCCAGCACCACCCGCCAGCAACTTGTTCGCCCTCCTTACTGCCCCCCTACACCCTCCCTTCCCCCATTGCTGCTGCACCTACTCACCTTGCCACAGACGTCAACACAATAACCCCTGAACTCCCATCTGCCCCTCACCGAACAAGCTGCGACAGGCCCTCCCCCCAGCCTCAATTGGCTAAAGCTCTCGTCGTCATTCATCCTAGACGACTCATTGCTAATTGGCTATACTAGCTTGCTCGTCTAAGCCGATAAGGCGGGTCTTATGGATCGCCCTTGGTCACGCCGATTGGTTGTCGTCCCCCAGCCAATCCCTTTGTCTACCAGCAAAGGCCACCGCCTTTCCCGTTTGCGTTTTACTGTATTTGCGTTTCATGAGTGAAAGGTGACAAACAGGCTGCCGGAAAATTCTCCGCCATTTCATGAGTCCCTTCCGTCCGGGCGAATGGTAGGCTTAGCCAATGGCAGAGCAGAGCAGTTGCCTTTGTGCTTGCGGCTGGTTGGCTGGTTTAGTTGTCGAGAGCGCGGAAGTAATCTGTACAGCATGGAAGGTGGTCTGCCACTTTTTGTTCACTTGTAACAATCAGTATTTTTTGCTATAAAATCAGAACCCCCAAACATTGTATATTTTCAAAGCAAAGACCCTAGAGAATAAAATGGTGGGTTTTGCCATTTCTTTTATGTCACGCGGTATTTGTGCAGTGATTTGCTAATGCAATTTTTGGGGAGAAAATACACTTTTAATGCAAAAAAAAAAAACCACAATACATAACCCATTTATTGTAAAATATAAAAGATGTACGCACAGTAAATACAGGCGTACCTCAGTTTACAAATTTAATTCGTTCTGCGGGACTTTTTGTATTGCGAAAAATTTGTAAACCGAAAAGCGGTTTCCCATAGCAATGCATTGAAAACCAATTAATCCGTTCCGGAAGGCAGGAAAAAGTAAACAAAAAGTCTTTTATCTGTTCAAAACTCTTTATAAAGTGTATATTAAAGGCATAAATGCTGTACAGGGACATGATTAAAAATCAATTTGTAAATGCATTGAAAACCAATTAACCACCTCCTGCCATATAGTAATATGACGGACGCAAGGTGGTTCTCTCGTTCTGGGAGGACGTCCTATGTCCTCCCATTCTAACCGCGAATGCGCGGCTCCCGGGAGCGCGCGCCGATTGGCGGTGCGCGGTGTCCCTCGGACACAGCGGATCACCGATTCACAGAAGGAGCCGAAGATGTCGTCTCGGTCATGTGATCAGCTGTGTCCAATCATAGCTGATCACATGTAAACAGGGAAATGCCGGATATCTGCATTTCTCTCCTCTCGAGCTGTCACGCTGAAAGCTCGTGAGGAGAGGAGAGCCGGTAATCGGCATTCCAATGAGAAGACATGTACACTGATCATCAGAGCACTGATGATCAGTGTGCCCTGATGATCAGTGTAGCCCTGTCAGTGCTCATCAGTGCCACCTGCCAGTGCCACATCAATGCCACATATCAGTGCCTACCAGTGCACATCAATGCCACATATCAGTGCCCATCTGAGCTGCCTTTCAGTGCCACCCATCCGTGCCAGTCAGTGCCACCTATGCAATGCCAATCAGTGCCCATCAGTGACGCCTATCAGTGCCGCCTAACAGTGCCAGTCAGTGCCGCCTATCAGTACCATATATCAGTGCCCATCAGTGATGCCTGTCAATGCCTATCAGTGCCTCCTCATCATCAGTGCCACCTATCAGTGTCTATTAGTGCAGCCTATCAGTGCCCATCACTACAGCCTCATTAGCGTACATCAGTGAAGGGGAAAAATCACTTATTTGCAACATTTTATAACAAACTAAGAAAAAACATTTTTTTTTTCAACATTTTTAGTGGTTTTTGGTTTGTTTAAGAAAAAATAAAAAAACCCAGAGGTGATTAAATACAACCAAAATAAAGCTCTATCTGTCACAAAAAAATGATAAAAATTTCATATGGGTACAGTGTTGCATGACCGCGCAATTGTCATTCAAAGTGCAACAGCGCTGAAAGCTGGAAATTGGCCTGGGCAGGAAGGGGGTATAAGTGCCCTGTAGGTTTGTGGTTAATCCGTTCCGGAGGTCAGAAAAAAGTAAACCAAAAGTCTTTTATCTGTTCAAAACTCTTCATAAAGTGCACTTTAAAGGCATAAATGCTGTACAGGGACATGATTAAAAAAAAATTTGTAAATGCATTGAAAACCAAATAATCCGTTCCGGAGGTAAGAAAAAAGTCTTATCTTTTAGGCGATCTCTGAAAACCTATCTCTTCAGGGAAGCCTATCCTGTCCTCAGCTAATAATGGAATCTTCTGCTCCTCCTACCAGTCCATCCCCCACAGTTACTACCTTTTGTACCACTAGCCCCTCCCTTCTAGATTGTAAGCTCCAAGGAGCAGGGCCCTCCTAAGGCTGGCCATAGACGGGTCATTTATCGGCTGAATTTTTGGCCGATAAATGAAAAATCGGTCGTTGCTGGCAGCGATGCTGTCACCAATGTCCACGAAAAACTGCCATGTTTCGTGGATTTTCCAGCATGACCGATAAAAGTAAACAAGAAGATCTGCGAAAAATGGCCGACGGGCTGACCCCACTAACGGCGTGAATATCGGCTGATTTTTCGTGCGGATGAAAGTTCGGCCGATCTATGACCCGTCTATGGCCTGCATAACCCTCTTGTATTGAACTGTATTGTTGCTGTATTGTCTCCCGTTATATTGTAAAGCGCTGAGCAAACTGTTGGCGCTATATAAATCCTGTATAATAATAATAATCTGTTCAACTCTTATGATGTGCACTTTAAATATAGTACTGTACAGGGACATGATTTATAAAAAATTGGTAAATGCATTGAAAACTAATTTAATCCTTTCTTATTGCAAAAAAAAATTGTAACCCGAGCCATTATTTTCAATGGATTTTCATTCGTAAACCAAAAATTACATTAACCAAGGCGTTCGTAAACCGAGGTACGCTTGTATATACCAAACATGTCACGCTTTAACATTGCGCCCGCCCATGCAATGATGACAAACAACGTAAATGTAACAGGTCTGGTGCTAGAATTGCTGCCCTGGATCTGACGTTGGTGGTGATACCTCATGTGTGGGACGATCACTCTTTGCACGCATGCGGGATCGATGCACGTGTTCACCTTTGTGCGCGAACACATGCGGGGGGCACTTTCATTTACTTTTTCTGTTCCAATGGTTTTTATTGGTTTTATCAAACAAAAAGGTGTAGAGAGAGGATACAAACAAGTGTAACAGCCACATCTGGCTTAACTGTAGCCGATCATCAAAGGTTGCAAATGGGTTTCAATAAACAACAAATGGTCTGAGGTAAACATCTTTCAGTTAAGCAAATGACAAAACTAGCCCCCCCCCTCCCCCCCGTGAGACTTGGGGACATCAAGTACTCTACTGTTGCAATCTTCCAGAAAATAAAGACTTTTATCCAAACAGGTCAGTCGTATAATATATTCGGCTATGGCCTGTGTGGCCCCGTGGATTCCCATCAACCCCCCCCCTCTCACCCCACTGTTGGGGGGGGGGGGGGGGAGGGGATTTCCTCAGCGCCATTTCACTTATTTTGTTGTTTTTTTTTTCTTTCTACACTGTTGCTCTAGTTTTTATGTATCACTTTTATTGCTGTCACAAGGAATGTAACAGCAATAGGCCTGTGACAGGTTCTCTTTATGGAGGGATCTGGGGTCTATAAGACCCCAAATCCCCCCTCTGCCCTCAAAAGTATTCATAATACCAAGATCTCTGTTTTTGAATGCTTTTGATTTTTTTGAAAATGGAGCTGATGACATCCAGGTAAACCGAAAGTGATGTCAGGTCATCGCTTCCAGGTTACCATAGCGGAGACCCAATCAAAACTGATCCTGGTCGCGTCGGCTGGTTGCTCGGGTCTCCCGGTGGGAGCAAGTGGTGGAAGCAAGTGGTGGAAGGTGGTTGGAGAAGAGGGGGGGGGGCTTGCACTCTCGCTGCTTGTAATAGCAATCGAGCTGCTAATTAGCTGCTCCAATTGCTATTAGAAGAGAGCCAACTGCCAGCTCTAAAAAAACCATATCGGGGTGATGCCTGCAGATGCAGGTGCAGGCATCATCCCAGTACAACCCCTTGAAGTCAAGCGATGTACCTGTACATGGATAGGCGGCAAGTGGTTAAGAGGGCTATAACTCGTCAGTTTATTTTTTCCACTTCTGTCCCTATTGGGGAAATATCCATTAACTTCCTGTCCCAGAGCCGAAACAGGAAGTAAGAGGAAATCCCTTTCAAAATGAGGGAATCCCTGGTTGTCACCAGAACTAGTGTCCCCCATTGGAAGATTTCCCCTCTATTCCTGTTCTGGCAAACCCTGCACGGTCAGTGATAATGGTCACCAGAACAAAAAGCAAGGGGAAATCTCCCTTACAAGGACACAGACGGCAATAAAAACACGTCAGGGCTTCTAATCCCTCTCCACTCTATTCAAAACTTTGAAAAAAAGTTTTGCTTTATTTACATTTTAAACCTTTTGTTGCCAGAGCCATTTCTTATGTTTACATGTCTCCACACCTTTTATTGTCCTGCAGGCTTCAGGGGGGCCAGGGGTAAATAAAATGTCCCCATGTCAGTGAGAGTAAACAATGCCCCACCATTGGTGTCAGCGGGAAAAATTGTGCCCCACCATTCGTGTCAGTGTCAGTGTGTCCATCATTGGTGTCAGTGGAGGAACAGTGCCCCAATTGGTGTCTGTGGGAGGAACAGTGCCCCATCATTGGTGTCATCATGGTGTCAGCGGGAGGAACAGTGTGCCCCATCATTGGTGTCCAGTGCCCCATCACCAGTGCCCCATTGTGGGAGGAACGTGTCATTGTGGGTGGGAGGAACAGTGCCCCATCATTGGAGGAACAGTGCCCCATCATTGGTGTCAGTGGGAGGAACAGTGCAGTGCCCCCCATCATTGGTGTCTGTGGGAGGAACAGTGCCCCATCATTGGTGTCTGTGGGACAGTGCCCCATCATTGGTGTCTGTGGGAGGAACAGTGCCCCATCATTGGTGTCTGTGGGAGGAACAGTGCCCCATCATTGGTGTCTGTGGGAGGAACAGTGCCCCATCATTGGTGTCTGTGGGAGGAACAGTGCCCCATCATTGGTGTCTGTGGGAGGAACAGTGCCCCATCATTGGTGTCTGTGGGAGGAACAGTGCCCCATCATTGGTGTCTGTGGGAGGAACAGTGCCCCATCATTGGTGTCTGTGGGAGGAACAGTGCCCCATCATTGGTGTCTGTGGGAGGAACAGTGCCCCATCATTGGTGTCTGTGGGAGGAACAGTGCCCCATCATTGGTGTCTGTGGGAGCCCCCATCATTGGTGTCTGTGGGAGGAACAGTGCCCCATCATTGGTGTCTGTGGGAGGAACAGTGCCCCATCATTGGTGTCTGTGGGAGGAACAGTGCCCTTTCATTGGTGTCTGTGGGAGGAACAGTGCCCCAATTGGTGTCTGTGGGAGAACAGTGCCCCATCATGTCTGTGGGAGGAACATTGCCCCATCATTGGTGTCTGTGGGAGGAACAGTGCCCCATCATTGGTGTCTGTGGGAGGAACAGTGCCCCATCATCCATCATTGGTGTCTGTGGGAGGAAAGTGCCCCAGGTGTCTGTGGGAAAAGGGCCACCCATCATTGGTGTCTGTGGGAGGAACAGTGCCCCATCATTGGTGTCTGTGGGAGGAACAGTGCCCCATCATTGGTGTCTGTGGGAGAGACCACAGTGCCCCATCTATTGGTGTCTGTGGGAGGAACAGTGCCCCATCATTGGTGTCTGTGGGAGGAAATAGTGGTAATAGTTTCATTGGTGTCAGTGGGAGAAATTGCCGCATCATTCTTGTCAGTGGAAGGAATAGTGCTCCAAGGGCTGGATAAAGCAGGAAAAGGGCCACATCTGGACCCCGGGCCGCATTTTTAGAGACCACTGCTCTAAAGAATTAAATAGTGGTAGTTCCAAATTTTTGGGAATATTTGCGCACAGTTTAGGAAATGCAAAATTTCAGAAAAAAACACTAAAGGTAATTTTAGGCCAAGCAAACACATTAAATTATGCATTCTTTTGGAAAATATAAAAGAAATGTTGCGCCAGGTAAATCGACACTTGTTCTAAGGCTTGTGAATGCGAGCAGAGTCACTGTACTGTGGATGAAGGGAGCACCATAGAATTTACCTAATCTATCTCACAAATCATATTCTGAAGTATATTATAGTAATATTGTTATCTATTTCAGAGAGCAGTAATCTTGCTGATGTGCGGCACATCATCCTGGTGTTGTCGGGTAAAGGAGGAGTCGGTAAGAGTACCATTTCCACAGAGATCGCACTGGCACTGCGCCATGCTGGAAAAAAGGTAAGAGGCCATTGATGCATCTTAAAAAGGTGAGGGGTTATTACAGCATATAAATAAAAGGGGTAAAAAAGCATGTAAAAAATTGGTACTGGTACTATGCCATGCTGGAAAAAAGTTGAGGGGCTATTTTAGCATTTTGGAAAAAAGGGAAAGCCATTGCAGCATTTACAAAAAAAAAAAAAAAAAAAGTGAAACAATGAGTGCACGGTATGTTAGTAAACAAAAATCTTACTGATATCCACAACAAATTCTTACACACTTGGCAGGCCAGGTTAGACCAATTCCCCTCAATGAAACCGCCCAAACGCTTTCTGAAATTGTAGAACACTTTATATGCTCAACTACACTAGGCCGGGGAGGGATCCCATCCCTTCCCTACTGCCCCCTCACTCCCTTCCCTATTCCTATCTTACCTTTTTCCTTTTTGTCTTACTTGTGCTGCACCTTCTTCGACAGTCTGTTGCTTTCATGCTGGGCCAACGCACCACCTTTTTATCCCCTTGCGTACAGATTTCACTTAGGCTAAACGCTCTACCCTTTGGGTAGGTTTAGCATTGACGATTGCATAGGATGGCTTTCCACTGAACTCTAGCTTTGGCCTTCCGGTCTGTGCCATGAACACACATCAGCCTCAGTTGCTACTCTGAATATCACCATCACTTACCCTTTGAGTTCTTGAAGTGTATATTTTCTGTGTATCTAACTGCTAAGGGTTTAGGGCTATCTGACTATGGCTATGTGAATGGTCTGGCCTTTTGTTAATCCTCATTTATGATTTTTGTATGCTAACGGTTTTCTTTGTTTAAAAACTTTTTTCCAATAAAAATATTGTAAAAGAAAAACAAAAGATGTGGAGCCATTGCAGCATCTTAGAAAAAGATGAGGGGCCTTTTACAGCATTAAAAAAGAAAAAAAAAAGTGAGAGGCCATTGGATCCTCTTACAAAAAAAAGGTGAGGGGCCATTGGAGCAACTAAGAATATAAAAAGGTGTGGGGCAATTGGAGCATCTTCGAAAATAGTCAGGGGCTATTGCATTCGCTTAGGAAAAAAAAGGTGAGGGGCCATTGCAGCAACATAGAGAAAAAAGGTGCTTGGCCATTATAGCATTAAAAAGAAAAATAAAAGCGAGGGACCATTGCATCCTGTTAGAAAAAAGGTGAGGAGCCATTGAAACAACCTAGGATTAAAAAGGTCAGCTGTAGTGAGGACTACTGAGCCTGTATGACTTGCTGAAGAGTAATCAACCATCCTGAATCCCCCCCCCCCCCCCTCAACTGAGATAGGTACATCCAGATCCCTTCTTATACTTGGGGACAAGGAGAGAAGGGTGAAATAGCCTAGCAATTGATCTGTGAAGTAGTGGGTTGTAGTAGCATAAAGATCAGTATAGTATGACAGGCATCCGCAACTTCAAGAGGTGCAGTACCCAGCTCTTCAGAAGGTAAGTATATCCAGGGAACAGAAGTAGGGGCAAATTCATGTCTAGTCAAATAAGAAAGTAGGCGGCCAGCCTTGTTACCATGTTCAAAAAATGTTTGTGTAGCATAGAGCATCTTTTTTTAGTGAGGTCTAACAGCCGAAGTTCAAACTCTCTATGCTTCAGCAGCCCCTCTGCCCTAGTATGGGAATCGGGGTTAGCAACATAATTACTTTCAGCCATCACCATGGCTGACTCCAGTTCCTCAGTGCATATCATCTGAGTATTTTTACTTGGCATGCCAGTGACAGACATAAACGTTCCACGGAGGGTAGTTTTAAATGCCTCCCACTCCGTGGAAGTGTCTACAGTGCCTATGTTTGCGTTCCAATAGTCAGCAATACCCTGTTTGCATTCTCCATGTACCACCTCATCCTCCAACCGCTGCGGGTTCAACCACCACAATGTAAATCCAGTGCGTGGAAGCAAGAGGGGGTCCACGGAAAGAGAGATCTGAAATGCCCCTAGAGAGGTAGGAAACAGCAGAGACAAGAGGAAGTGTGGTCACAGGCGCAAAGGCCTTATCAAGACATGGTGTGAAAAGAATCAAAATGGCAGGAGTACTGTTGTACATCAGGGTGTTTCCATCTCCATATTTCAGTAAGACTACACTTGTACCCAGTCCAAGAGCATAAGGGATAGTTTGGTTAGGAGAGAACGGAGGTGGAATATAGATATTTACAAGTGTAAACATAAGAGAGGTAATCTGTATGGTAAGGATGACAAATGTCCCTGCCGGATCTGTTTTCACTTGGACAATATCAGCTGGGAGAGATTTAGCCAACAACACAGAAACCCCACAGGAGTAGGAGGTATGGGTAGAGTGGAAGGACTTAGCGATCCAATGATGTGTAAGGGCCAAAAGCTTAGATCCAATTAACCACTTGCCCTCCCCTTCCTGACCAAGCCATTTTTTGCGTTATGGCTCTGCGCTACTTTAACTGACAATTGTGCGGTCATGCAACGCTGCACCCAAAATGAAATTTACTTCCTTCTTTTCGAAAAAATTGATCTTTCTTTCGGTGATATTTGATCGCCTGTGCGGTTTTTAATTTTTGTGCTATAAGAAAAAAAAGACGACAATTTTGAGAAAAAAACAATACTTTTGACTTTTTGCTATTAAACATTGCTATTTTTGCTATATAAAACCACAGCTTGTTTTATTCTTATATGCGTGTTGTTTTTTTAACACAATGTGAGTGCATTATGGGAGCACATTAAACAGTGTTTGTTATACCTTGGATAAGGCACCATATCTCTTCATTTTCTTTCTTCTATGGGTCATATGAGGATATATTGAGCATTGAAGTAAGGAGAGGCTCTAGGAGGGAGAAAACCTCATATCTACATAGACTCAGAAGATAGTTCGTAGGTTTCCATCCACATCATCTTAAGCAACTTGAAAAGGAGAGTATATCACCAATATCTAATTCCTGCTGAACCCTAAAAAACTTTTTTGCACATTTTTCTTTTCTTTTTTGCACATTTTTGCTGCTGAACTTTTTGAATTGATATATTTTTAATTATCTTTATTATTTTATTTATTTATTTTTCACTAATATATATATACAATTTATTGTTTGCTTTGCATCATTTGCACATTGGATCATATGAATTTATACAATTTTTTCATTATTATTTTTTTTAATTTATATTCAGTTGATTTTCACATTTGCACAGTGAATTGTATTAATTTATATATTTATTTTTAACGAGATAATCACATTGCATAAATATCATAATTGGATTTAATTACACACTTTTTATTTTTAAGCTTTATTAAGCACTAGGATAAAATAATAAGATTAATTTAGGTGAAAGTTGATAGGATGATATTATCACAGCATATATGAATTCATTGGTATTGATATGGTATTATATAATATATAGCATTGGCACGGTAATATTAGAGCGCGGATAATTATTTATTGATTTTATAGAATTCACATCTTATGAGAGTGAGAAAAATTCCAGCGATCTAATATATTTGATTTCTAACTCCAGTGGGTCACAAGTTCATCTTAATAATATATGTCCAGTAAAAAAATTTAAAAAATCAAATTTCATCATAAATTTAGGCCAAAATGTATTCTGCTACATGTCTTTGCTATAAAAATCCCAATAAGTGTAAATTAATTGGTTTACTTGAAAGTTATAGCATTTACAAATATAATACTGGAATTTCTCTTTTTTTTTTTTTACTAGTAATGGCGGCATTCAGCAACTTATAGTGGGACTGCGGTGGACATTCTGACACTGGGGGGAACTGACTTGGTGTCACTGACATCCCCAGTGACACCAATACAGTAATCAGTTTAAAAAAAAAAAACAATGACTCTGTACTAATGGCACTGGGCAGGAAGGGGTTAATATGAGGGGCAATCAAAGGGTTAACTGTGTGCAGTGAGTGTTTTACTAGGGGGCTGTGTCAGTGTGCTTCACTATAAGCACACTGTTTTGGATAGCTGTGCTGTGCACAACCATCCAAAGCAGTGTGCCTGAGTTGACAGGGAGGAGAACTGTTAATAAACAAAACAGTCCTCCTCCCCATCGGAGATGCTCAGTAATGACCCGGTGATTGACGGCTGTGAATGCAAAATCACGTATATATACGTGCTTTTTCACACCCCTGCCGCCTTGTGGCAGTATATCTGGTATAGGGCAGCAGAAAAGCGGTTAAATGGGTCTCTTGGGGACAGAAAATATGTGGTCTATGTTTTTTTAAGAGAGGAGAATGCAAATGATGCTTCTGGGGTGAGTTCAGTCCTCTAGTGTTCCAGGAAAGAACTAAAGACATAAAAGACCAGTATAGTCATAAATATAAACACAAGATATTCACGTAACATGGAGCACATCTATACAGTTGGACAATAAAACTGTGAAAAGAAGCCATGTGAGATCAACAAGAAAAAAACAAACAAAACGTCATGTATCCAACAAAGAACCCCCAAAAACCCTCCCTGCCCACCCTGCTCTTCCATCCCCAACTTAGAGAGCTGGGATTCGATTAACTCTTGAATGTCCACTGGCCTCGCCATTAACGGGTCAGAGGGTATGATGAAGTCCGGTTGGCTTTTTACAGTAGATATCAAATCCTCTGAATGGGTAAAGAGAGTTCCTGAGGCAGGACAAAAGGACATAAATGGGCAGTCCATCACCACAAAAAGTGTTCAGTAGTAGACAAAGGTAGCAGGATCCGTCAGCACAGGTGAAGTAGTCTGAGAAAAGCTCGAAAGAGTTGAAAACAGATTGTGGCAAAGAGCAGGTAGGTAAGAGTAGTAGTGTGCAAGGTGGCATCAACACAAAATGAGTCATGGAATATCAGCATTAATTGCCAGAGCAAAAACAAAGTCTCAGGAGGAGTGGAGAGTAGCGACCTAAAGGGGTGGATACAAAGCACGGGAAAGTCTTACAGAGCTAAAGTCACCTACGCCTGGGCTCCGGCCTGAAACGTTCATCCAGCCAAGCCATCACCTCCTTTGGGTTGATATAGAAGTGAGCTTTCCCATCATGAATGATGCGCAGTTTGGTTGGAAAGAGCATAGCATACTGCAGACCATTGGGTTCTGAGGCAATCCTTTACAGCGGCATAAGAAGCGCGTTGGCTTCACTTCTGCAGAGAAATCAGGATAAATAGAGATGGTAGCACCGTTATAACAGAGTGGCCCCTTCTCCCTAGCAATGCGGAGGATCGTAACTTTATCTTGAAAGTTGAGCATCCATGCAACCATGGAGCGTAGAGGAGAGCTGGAAGGGGGCGGACGCAGTGGTGTGCGATGGGCCCGCTCAATTGCAAAGGTGGAGGTCAATGCTTCGGCTCCAAAGCGGCCCCTTAGCCAGGAAGAAAGGAACTGTTCAGGAGATGATCTTAGCGTTCAGGAAATCCCACAAAACGCAGGTTGTTTTTGCAGGAACGATTTTCCAAATCGTCCAGTTTTGCCTTAAGAACCGCCTTTTCATCAGTAGCCAAGTGCACTGAGGCAGCCAGAGGATGAAGAGTGTCTTCTAGGAAACTAATGCGATCTTCTGCTACCCCCGTTCTCTCCTGCAGGTTTTGTACATCTTGTTTCAATAGAGAGAAACCGACATGAATGGTTTCTACCTGTGTTGTCAGTTTAGTCTTGCAGTCTTGTGTGGCATGCGTGATCTGGGACAGTGTAGGTTCTGCAGGTTGCTGATCTGTATCCCCCTCATTATCAAAGTCTGGGGGTCTGGGGAAACCCAAAGGAGAAGAGACGGCTACAGACAGGGTGAAAAGCTCAGGAGAAGAAGCACTCACCGATCCAATGGCTTCTGTCTAGGAGAGAGCAGGAGGCTGCAGCATGGAGGAGACAGAGTGAGTGGACCCGGCACCATCTTGCCTATGAAAGCGGGCCAGTTTTTTTCCGCCGCTGAGGGGGCCGTAGTCTGCCTGATTTTGACCATGGCTATCTCAGTGAGGTGCCTACCATCAGGAGGAGCAGGATTGTGTGTTTTAGGTGAGGATTCAGTGCAGGATGTCTGAAGGATAAGAGAAGAGAACTGGAGCCACCGGGTTAAGCTGCTGCTCAGTCCACCATCAAGCCACGCCTCGGAAATTTTTGATTGGGTTTATGTATTCTCTAAAATGGTGGAAAGCATAGTAAGGATCTCACCAGTGTGCCAATGCTTAACCCATGTCCTCTGAGCAGGATGAAGTGATAGGTGAGATCTGAATGATGTGATTTACAACAGTGGATGAAAACAGATAAAAAAAATACATTGACTGGTAAAACAGTTCTCAACTAAAGCCGTCATCTATTTATTTGCCTTGAGTAGTGCATTAACTAATTCTTGAACTTGATACATGGCTATGTCATTTCTGTAGGTTGTAATATGGGAAGTCCCATTCCTTCTGCTTTCATTGTAGGTTGGAATTCTGGATGTAGATTTGTGTGGGCCCAGCATACCGCGCATGCTGAATGCTCACAATAAGGATGTCCACCAGTGTGACAGTGGCTGGGTGCCGGTCTTCGTGGACCAAGAGATGAGCATCTCCCTTATGTCTGTTGGCTTCCTGCTGGAGCGACCTGATGATGCTGTGGTATGGAGAGGACCCAAGAAGAATGGTATGGCTGGCATTGCACAGAACATAAGGAACTATTACATAGTTGCATAATTAGCCCAGGTAAAAAAGACACATTTCCAGCCTCTTACAAACCTTAGAAATGCACTTCCAGGGTAACATAGAACAAAACTCAGAGGGCTGCTTTCACCTGGTTCATCGTAGCATTAAGCATTAGCCATTCAATTGTAGGTTCCCTTCATTAACACGCAGGCCAAATAAGAGAAAATTGATTTGGTTCCCCCATTCACAGTAAACAGCATGGATGGAGGAATCTACTGTCTGTTACTATATTCAGACAGCTGCAACACCCCCGACTGCCTGATTACCCAAACAGTGACTGAACCTGATAGGATGCAGTATAACTATTTAGCTGATAGTTTTCCATCCAGCTCAGTCAATTTTTAAATCAACTTTGTGGATCTGGGTGGATAGGGCCATCCAGTGTTCAAATTTTGGCCAATTCAGCACGAATCAGTTAAAGTTCAAGCCATGTATGACCAGCCTTGGTAGCTACCCAAGGATTTTTTTTTTCCTCCAGGCAAAAAGTGCAGAATTTGAACTTGATAGACCAGTCTATTTTCAGCCTATGTATAGAAAAAATATCCTAATTTGTCCTTTACTTATACACTATATTACTTTACATTTCTTAACGTTGAGATTGACTGTCTGACAACCAGTGGGAGCGATAAGTAGACAGAATCAGCAGGAAACAGAAAAAAACTGGGAAGTCAGTCAATGGTGACTCTTACACAAGCCTATGATTTACAAAGACAGTCTAAAATAAAGCAGGCCATACATGGATCGAAATTTGGCCAGTTCAATGGGGTCCAGTCAAACTTCGATCCATGTGTGGGCACCCTGGTTGTACACAAGTTGATCTATCAATAAGCTTGTTTGCCGGAGGAACGGCAAGCACATTCAGTGAAGGCAGACACACCTGCAAGGCTGGTTGTATAGTAGGATCTGGATACTTTTTGGATACATTTGCACACAAAGCGCTACTTTTTTGTTTGGAGCATGTGAGTGGGAAACCAATAGCTTTAAATAAATAACTTTTATCCCGGATAAGACACTATGTCTCTGTTTCTCTCTTTATATGTATCGAGCATGGATGAATAAGCAGCCAGTGGAAAAAGTTCTATTGAGGAGGCTGTGTTGGGGAGAGAGGAGAGAAGAAAGGAGGGAGAGGTTCACGGCTGTGAACACTGATCCATCATACAGATTAGTTTGAACTTTAAATACCATCGCATCTCTGATGAACTGAATTGTCATTTCCATATATATTTATTCTGGTTTATATGCACAATATATTTTTTCATTTTTTTCAATTTTTTTCACTTTTTATATATGAATTAATGGTGTTATCAATTATAATTTTTAGTTGGATTAATATATTTAATTACTGATATATTGAAGATACACGGAGTTATTTAATAACATTATATTATAGAAAATTAGATTTTTATTATTATTGAGAGTTGTATATATTGGAGCGCGGTACAGTACTGACATTTAATATATACATCCATACACCTGGAGAGGGTGTAATAAGTACCTAGCGATCTAATATATTTTAATTCTATAAAGGAATTATTTAAACACTTGATTAATTAAATTAGAAAGTATCACAGTTACAAAATAATCACATGATTATCATATAAGCACATAAATAATTTAAGTGTAAGAATACTTCCAGTGGCTCACAAGTATTTATTTTAATTTTAAATTTCAATTACATCTCACATATTTGTTTGTAGACACAATGGAGGTTTTCAATTTTCTAGAAAATAGACACATTGATATAGATAATGTTTTTCAAGGTGAGGATAAAATAGATGTTAATATACACAATTTATTTAGGAAGATAACGCATGTTATGGAGAAAAAGCTAAATGTATGGTGGGATATGACAACTTTAGAAAAATATCTGAAAGAAAAAATTATACCTAGAAAATTAAGATGGGATATACCCATAGCTGATGGGTTGTTAGAGGAAGATGATGTGATGGAATGGTTCAATTTTTTTAGTGAGAAAGAGTATGGAACTCATAGTGTTCCTAATAAAGAGAAGGCAGAGAAAAATGCGCAAATTGGAAAATGTATTAAAGGAATATAGAGAGAAGGTAGAAATACATAAAGAACATCCAGAGTTTAACAAATACATGACAGAATTAGGAAAAAATGTGAAAAATAAGGATTTGGAGATTCAGAATAGGAAGAAGAAAAAATATCAGAAAGTAACGCAAGAATATAATTTGAAACAAATATATAAATGGCAACAGCAAGATATGACAGAAGGATTGAAATCAACAGATAGTACTCCAATTACGAAACAAAAAAAATAATAAATTGACAACTAAAAAAAACCTTAAATTTTGTCAATAACTCTACTAAAGAAGTCCATCAACATACACCTAAAATACCACTGAAAAAGATACCGATGCAACAACAAGAACAAATTACCTTACCATCGCAAGTACCACAAAAACCACTTACATCACAACAGGTTAGAGAAGAAGTACATAATAATAAAAAAGAGTTATACACAATACCCCAACACATGACTATAGGGGACAAACACCTTTTATTATTACCAAAATAGAGGTCCACCACCATATCAACCATCAAGAGGTAGACCTTACTTTAGAAATGGAAATAGAGGTCAAAATTATAGAGGACATCAAAATTACTATAATCAGGGCCAATACAATTACAATCAAGGCAGAAATTATGGACCTAATTATAGGAATGAATACAGGAATGATAACACATATGCATATACTACAGATTATGCAATTAACAATCAAATGAGAAACACACCACAGTCATTCAATCTTCCTTTATCAAACAAGTATTCTCCATTAGAATCAGAAGAGTCATATACGCCTTTACCAAACCCTTTTTTTAGAGTTAAATCAACATCCAGTAGAAACAAATCAAAACATTGTAGAAAGAGGGGAAACAGAGGAGGAAGAAAAACAACAAAAAAAAAAAAAGAAGGAGAGTATAAAGGGGGAAGGTATTTTCAACCTTAGTGGAACACCCCTTAAACAAGAGGAAATCTACGCATTAGATCAGGGCTTGAAGTTTGCTCCTAATAAAGGATTAAATAAATTTGAAATGTATATAAGTTTACAAAAATTTATAAGAAAATTAAATATTAAAAAATATTATGTTCAAAACCCAATAGAACATAATCAGGAGATCAAAATATCAAAATATCAACACAGTGATCTGAAAAATAAATCTGTTTTCAACCCCAAATCCAGTGATAGTACATATATAACAACGTTTAAAAAAAATTAGTGACTAAAGATCTAGAAAAATTGCAAACAAAAAAATTTAAACATAAATTATAACCTTGAGAAAGGAATTTAAAAGTCTCAAGGAGAGAAAAAATATAGTAATCAGGCCGGCAGATAAGGGGGGGAGGCATAGTTATATTATCAAAAACATTTTATGAACCAATCTATGGAGGACATGTTAAAAGATGAAAGTACATATCAGGAGCTTAAGAATAATCCAAACAAAGAGTATAAAAAAGAGTTAATAGAGCTAGTAAATTATGGAAAGAAAAAACACATATTAAATGAGAAAGAAGCAAAGTATCTGGTGCCAACAGTATGTAAACTGCCTATAATATACTCAATACCAAAAATTCACAAAAACCCTTGAGAATCCACCAATTAGACCTATAATAAATGGGATAGAGTCTTTAACGGCAAGGATGGGAGAATATATTGATCAATATCTACAACCATTAGTGGTGCAAACGAAGGCATATTTGAAGGATACTAGACATATTATTCATTTGATGCAAAATTTAACACTCACTGAAGATAGTATATTAAGTACAGCTGATGTCACCTCATTGTACAACAAACATTGACCATGATGGAGCAATAAAAGCGGCAAAGTGGGCATTGGAAAAGTACTCTGATTTACATAAAAGACAGAAAAAATACTTAATCAAGTGTTTAAAATTCTGTCTTAAACACAACTTTTTTTGGTATAATAACAAGTACTACTTACAGGTCAAAGGTGTAGCGATGGGGGCAAAATTTGCCCCCAGCATAGCAAATTTATACATGGCACAATGGGAGGAAGATAATATATTTAATAATCAAAAACAAGAACTTATAGCATACCATCGTTATATTGATGATATCATCCTAGTTTGGAGAGGAAATGATACATCATTAGCAGAATACTATATAGAATTAAATAATAACCAAAATAATATAAAACTCAGCTGGAATAGCAGTGACATAAAAATTAACTTTCTAGATATATGGCTAGTAAAAGAGGGATCATGCATCTCTACAAAAAATCACTTCAAAAAATACAGATAGAAATTCATATATACCTACCCATAGTTGCCATCACAAAACATGGATAAAGAACATACCTAGAGGACAGTTTACGAGACTAAGACGTAACTGTACACATGATATAGATTATCAGGAACAGAGTGACATCCTTCTAAAGAGATTCATCAATAAAGGGTATAAAAAAGAGTATATAGGTGAAGAAAGGGATAGGGCAGGAACACTAGATAGAAGCAAATTACTAACAGAAAGACAGAGTAATAACAGTATGGATAATGTTATGACTATCATAATGCCATATAATAAACAATATAAGGATGTGCAAAAAATAATTAAAAAACATTGGGATATATTAAAGTTGGATAAAGATCTGAAAGATAACATTCCTGACAATCCAAGATTTATTTACAAAAAAGCTCCGAATATCAGAGATAAGGTAGTAAAGAATATACTAGATCCCCCCAAACAAAATCCATTTTCGTTCTTCAAGGAAATAGGATTCTATAAATGTGGAAGATGCTACAGTTGTATTAGAACAAAAAATAACCCCAGAAAGAGAATGCAGTTTACTAATTTAATAAGTGGAATAACATTTAAATAAAAATCAATTTATATCATGTGACACAAGGGGGTAATATATGCACTAAAATGTCCATGCAATAAAATATATATAGGAAGAACGAAACGCATGCTAAAAGAAAGAATAAAGGAGCATGTTCGTAATATTTCAAAAGGATATAAGTATCATAATGTATCACTACACTTCAAATTATATCATGGACAGAAAACAGAAGGATTGGAATTTTGGGGAATTGAAAAACATAAGGCACACTGGAGAGGGGATAATCTTATTAGAGAAATTAGTAAGAAAGAATCCCAGTGGATTTATCAAATGAATTCTTTGCACCCTTTAGGGTTAAATAAGGAATTTGACTTAGCTTGTTTCCTTAGTGATAATTGATATTATTATATACCATAAAGAATAATGAGCATAAGAATACATTTCAAGTATAATATTAGGAGGAAGATATTGATGGAATAATGAGGAAGTAGTTTATTAACTATTATGTATAAAATAATTCTAGTATGATTATAGGTTTTAATTATTTAATTTATGAGGAAATAAAAATAATAAATAAGAATTTTTTTTAGGCATTTTTTAATTTTATTTTATATATATATTTTTAAATATTTTTTTTTTTTTTTTTTTTTTTTTTTTTATTAATTTTTAAAAATAATTTTTTATATGTAATCTGATATTTTAATTTTAATTTAAAGTTTATTAAATGTTTGGAAATTATTAATATTAAAGAATGAATACTGTGGTTAATATAACCATGAATAAAGACAAATGTATAAGATAAATGGCGATGAAAAATGAATAGAAAAATATGATATTGTAATCCGAATTGTGAAGGGTGTGTTTGGTAGCATTGAATTGTGCAACCGTAGGATGCTGAGACGCACTCTTGTGCATATATATAATAGATAACATTGAGATATATATTGAAGACTACAAGTAAATGGAGGAGGAATGAGGATTATTTAGATCACAGCAAAAATGGCGCCCGGTAGAATATAAATAGCCTCAGTGCAGGATGACATGATAAACTACATCCCCCAGAGGAAGCTACGAGTCCCTGTAGCGTAACGCGTAGGGGAGGGGCGGTGACGTCATCACGCATCCACGGAGGAACGGCAAGCACATTCAGTGAAGGCAGACACACCTGCAAGGCTGGTTGTATAGTAGGATCTGGATACTTTTTGGATACATTTGCACACAAAGCGCTACTTTTGTTTGGGAGCATGTGAGTGGGGAAACCAATAGCTTTAAATAAATAACTTTTATCCCGGATAAGACACTATGTCTCTGTTTCTCTCTTTATATGTATCGAGCATGGATGAATAAGCAGCCAGTGGAAAAAGTTCTATTGAGGAGGCTGTGTTGGGGAGAGAGGAGAGAAGAAAGGAGGGAGAGGTTCACGGCTGTGAACACACTGATCCATCATACAGATTAGTTTGAACTTTAAATACCATCGCATCTCTGATGAACTGAATTGTCATTTCCATATATATTTATTCTGGTTTATATGCACAATATATTTTTTCATTTTTTTTTCAATTTTTTTCACTTTTTATATATGAATTAATGGTGTTATCAATTATAATTTTTAGTTGGATTAATATATTTAATTACTGATATATTGAAGATACACGGAGTTATTTAATAACATTATTATAGAAAATTAGATTTTTATTATTATTGAGAGTTGTATATATTGGAGCGCGGTACAGTACTGACATTTTATCAATAAGCTTGTGTACAACCAGCATGTTGGGTTTTTCCCGAATGATTAGCGCCACTGGCTATAGCCAGCAACACTAATGATTGTGATCTGTGCTGATAGGGGAATCAAGCAATTTCCTTCCACCTTTTGGTGGGAGGAAAGAAAATTGCATAATCTATGGCCTGCCTAAGCCATCTTTGCAAAGCAGTACTTGGTACCAGGCCAAATAATAAACATGTCCAGATTTATTTGCTTGCACCCTCTATTCATAGGATATCTTGTTAAGATGAGACCTGTACAGTAATTAATTTTTATCTTCTAGCTCTAATAAAACAATTTGTCAACGATGTGGTCTGGGGAGAACTGGATTTCCTTATTGTGGACACCCCACCAGGAACGTCAGATGAGCATATATCCACAATGGATGCTCTGCGGCCCTTCCATCCAATGGGAGCTGTATTGGTCACCACTCCACAGGTGTTTTATGCTAACTGTTGCAGGATATTAGGTTACCCCTTAGACATGACACAACCATTGCCCGTATCTTTCTTTTGCAAACATTCCATGGAATCAACTTAGCATTGTGCGGCACATTAACAAACAGACCTGTTTTTTTGTGGCCTTTGCCATTTTCTATGTCCAAGTGAAATAGAAACTGGTGTGTTTGGCATCTAATTACAGATAGGGATTGCGTCAGTTTTCACGATAGAAAACTGCCGCAGATCCCCATCTGGTTGAACCTTGCATACAAGATGTGAACTGTCAGCAGACAGCTCACATCCCTCTCTCTGCTCAGGGAGTCTACAAGGTTACTGGTTTTCCTCCTCCCTCCCAACAATGGTCACCAGAATAAGTAGCATGACGCTCCCTTGCAGGGACACAGATAGCAATAAACATGTGATAGGCATTCTAGCCATTCCATACTCCATCTACTGTAAAACCTAACATAATTTTGGCTTTGCAAAGAGAGTTAGACCCTTTGTTCCTTTGGGGGGTTTTTTTGGTCTCTGTGTCCCTACTGGGGAGACCCTTCTATGTGCCCTGGGAATCATTGTCACTGAGACAGAAAGTGGGGAAAGTGAGGGGAAATCCTCCAATGTGGACACCTGTTCCTGTGACAATTCACTAAGATGGGAATTCCACTGTCCTCTCATTTTCTATTTCATCTCCTTGGCAGGAAGTGATAGGAAATATCCCCAGCAGGATACAGGAAAAAATAACTGTTAATAATTTTACCCATTTCCTGTCTGGGGAACAAAATGGTTTGGCTAAACATGCTTTACAGTACATGGAAAAACTAAGAATGAACACCTCTTACTTGTTCTTTAATCTCCTTAAAGCTGAGTTCCACCCAAAAGTGGAAACTCCACTTTTCTGCCAACCCCCACCCCCCTCCCCCCCTTCATCTGCTGCCATATTTTGGCACCTTTTGTGGGGGGGGAGGGTAGAACAGGTACCTGATTTTGACAGGTACCCGCTCTCACTTCCGGTTCCTTTACCATAGCAAACTGAGCTGTAAGTTCGGCTCCCCCGCAGCCCTCTGAGACACTTCCAAGGTCCCAGAGCACTGCGGCCCATTCACAAAGCGCAGCGCACTTCGCGCATGCGCAATGGGAAACCAGCGCTGGTTTCCCTTAGTAAAGATGGCAGCGCCAGCACCTAACAGCTGACTGAAGAATATTAAAAGTCAGCAGCCACAGTATTTGTAGCTACTGACTTTTAATTTTTGGGGGGAGGTGGCGGGGGCCGGAACTCCGCTTTAATATGACATTGGAAGTGTTTCTTTATCTGTTTTGAGATGTGCAAAAAAACTTGCAGGGTCTTTAAGGGACAAAACATGGGAAAATGTGCCTGAATTGCAAAGATGTCCACTTATTTTTATTTTCCTTGACATACACTTTCAACTAGGTTCAAAAATGTAGTGTTGTAGTGAAAAGATCAGTGATTTTTAGCACCTGTAAGCTAATTGAATTAAGTGGTGTAAAGTGAATTGATGTTGTGTAGAGTAATCTAATGCAACCAGAGTTCATTTTACTAAACAAATATCAAGAAGAGAGGAATTTTTGGTTGTTTTTTATATGGCTTTCTTTCAGTTCACACGTTGCTGTCTGTCTTGTTCAGTAAACCTCACGGAGATTGCATCCTGACTTCATATAAACTTTGTCCTGCAGGCTGTATCCATTGGTGATGTCAGACGGGAGCTGACCTTCTGTAAGAAGATGTCTCTTCCTGTCATTGGAATTGTAGAGAACATGAGTGGATTTGTGTGTCCACATTGCACGGTCAGTTGAAGGACAGCTTTATTATCAAAAATACCAGTTTGGCAGAATGCCGTACATATTTTTTAAAATTAATGTTTTTGGTTCTGTTCTGGCGTCATCACTTTGGTTTACATGAAAATTCTGAACCTTTTCTTCCGAGTGTGGGGATTGTTCTTGTCCTCTTGTGGTCATCACAAAGTATTGTTTTAAATGTATGAACCAGACTTTAAAGTGACACTAAACTGTGGTTTAAAATATCCTATTCAAATATGTATTCCCTTCTATTGCCCCCAGCCTCCTACAAATCTCCAAATTTTTTTTTAGTTCCTGTAATCTGACTTCCTGTTAGAGGGTTCATATATTTATTATCCATAGTCCCACTGTATGTAGGAACATAGCCACCTTCTCTTGCTCACTACTGAGAATTACAGAATTCAGTTTTACTTCTCAAAATATGTAATATAGAATAGAGTTTATAAAATGGGGCAGTCTGGTGTATGTAATGTAACAAGAGCACACAGACTGGGGAAGTCCAGTGTATGTAATGCAAAGCAGGGCATACAAATGAGGGCAATTGTATGTAATGTAGAGTATGTAGACTGGAGCAATCCAGTATATATAATGCAAAGCAGAGCATACAGACTGGGGCAATTGATTGTACTTGTACAGTAAAAGTGTACATCCAGGAGCAGTCCAGTGTATGTAATATAGAGCAGAGCATACAGACCGGAGCAGTCAGTTGTATGTAATGTAGCGCAGAGTGTACAGACCGGAGCAGTCAGATGTATGTAATGTAGAGCAGAGCGTACAGACTGGATCAGTCAGGTGTATGTAATGTAGAGAGCAGAGCGTACAGACCGGAGCAGTCAGTTGTATGTAATGTAGCGCAGAGTGTACAGACCGGAGCAGTCAGATGTATGTAATGTAGAGCAGCAGAGCGTACAGACTGGATCAGTCAGGTGTATGTAATGTAGAGCAGAGCGTACAGACCGGAGCAGTCAGGTGTATGTAATGTAGAGCAGAGCGTACAGACCGGAGCAGTCAGGTGTATGTAACGTAGAGCAGAGCGTACAGACCGGAGCAGTCAGGTGTATGTAACGTAGAGCAGAGCGTACAGACCGGAGCAGTCAGGTGTATGTAACGTAGAGCAGAGCGTACAGACCGGAGCAGTCAGGTGTATGTAACGTAGAGCAGAGCGTACAGACCGGAGCAGTCAGGTGTATGTAACGTAGAGCAGAGCGTACAGACCGGAGCAGTCAGTTGTATGTAATGTAGAGCGGAGCGTACAGACCGGAGCAGTCAGGTGTATGTAATGTAGAGCAGAGCGTACAGACTGGAGCAGTCAGGTGTATGTAATGTAGAGCAGAGCATACAGACCGGAGCAGTCAGTTGTATGTAATGTAGAAGAGAGCGTACAGACCGGAGCAGTCAGTTGTATGTAATGTAGAAGAGAGCGTACAGACCGGAGCAGTCAGGTGTATGTAATGTAGAGCGGAGAGTACAGACTGGAGCAGTCAGGTGTATGTAATGTAGAGCAGAGCGTACAGACCGGAGCAGTCAGGTGTATGTAATCTCTAAAATATTAGTGCAGCGCTAAAAAATGCATGTCATAAATCCCATAAACGCATGTGATTAAACGCGTATGTGAGTAAAGTGCTGAAAGTGCAATATTAATACAACTAGTTCAAGATGACATAAAATGCAATAAAATAAGTTCATCAGAGTATTCGTGAGTTTAAAACGTCTCTCGTGCAAAGATATCTGCTGAAGAAATGCCTATGATTGGCACGTGAAGTTATCCGTGAAGAGTAACTGTGCAAAAGCTTGTAAAAGGAAATCCACCCTTGGTACGGATGTACACTCACCAGACCATAAATTATAATGCGCATTGATTATAATACATCGTACATCTGGGGGTGCAGTGGTATGCTGACAGCTACGGGGTCATCCGTCCATCCGTCTGGGTGGGTGCCTGGTGGTCCTGGGGGGAATTAGCTCAGCCACAGGAGCCAGAAAGGTGCTTATAATGTAGTATTTTATTTAAAGTAATAATAGCAAGTAACATAAAAACGTATCCACGTGGAGTAATTAAATAAATAAATGAATAAAGTACCAAAATGGCCACTGCTCATCAGTAGCGGCGGATAGAGATCCACCCAACGCGTTTCGTCTAATACGTCCTCGGGTACACCCATATGTGTACCCCTGAGGATGTGTTATTACACGTAATACAGTATGATGTATGTATTGTAGATCAGGGCACACAGACTGGAATAGTCCAGTGTATGTAATGTAGAGCAGATCATACAGAATGGGGCAGTTTGGTGTATGTAATGTAGAGCAGATCATACAGAATGGGGCAGTTTGGTGTATGTAATGTAGAGCAGATCATACAGAATGGGGCAGTTTGGTGTATGTAATGTAGAGCAGATCATACAGAATGGGGCAGTTTGGTGTATGTAATGTAGAGCAGATCATACAGAATGGGGCAGTTTGGTGTATGCAACATAGAGCAGAGCATACAGACCAGAAACAATCAGTTGCATGTAATGCAGAGTAAAAGCGCACAGACTGCAGCAGTAAGAAAATGAGTCTTGGGGTTGTTGCAGTTGTAGAGTACATGAGTGTAGTCCTGGGTCCACATTGTTTGGTAGCTTGCAGCTTAATGGGCAGGAAATACCAGTCTGTCAGGATGCTTTGCATTTTTCCCTAGATTTACAAACTATCATGGTATTCTGTGGTATAATAGAAAGGCTAATGTGTTACATCCCAATCCTAGCTCCATTCTAATGTTAATTCTTACCAGCTGCTAACCAGGCTGATTCCCTTCACTATAGACACTTAGAAAACAGCACAGTAATGGACGTCCTGCATTATTGGACTATTCTTTAGAAGCCCCATAGCGCGTCGCCTGGCACAAATTTTTTATTTTGCTATCGTGATGGGAGAAAATCTAGATATAACTAAAAAAAAAACACGTTGCAGTTGATTTACTTAACCTCCCTGGCGGTATGATTATTTCAGGTTTTTGGTGCTGAAAGCGGTACCATTTTTTTGCATGGAAATATGTATTTTTTTTTATTGTAGGCTGTAATTTTTTGGAAAAACTCACTGAAATCTGTCCGAACAAGAGTCTAGTAAACATCCCGGGTATGATAAAAATTTGAAACACAAAATCATAAATTATAACTTAATAAATAATCATAAAAATAATATAAAAATAATAAAAAATTTAATTCAATAATATAATCAAACCAAAAACACTGAAATGTGAAATAGAGCGCCAAGTTCGCACATTGCTGAGCTCAGTCGCAAAATCGTTTTCAGTGTCTGATGACGAATTTCCCCCACGAATCATTATCACTCAATTCTGCAAGTGGTTCTGATTTACTATCGATGTTCTCTAGCTGATCTAAACCGCTTTTGACCTAAAGGGACACTTTTTGGATGCCATGGACATTTCTCAGTTTCCAGGCAGAAAGAACAGACAAAATGCAGGCAGGGCGCAGGACAAAGCACTAGGGACAATATGTATGTGAAATAGGTTGAAACAGCAATGTTTTACTGTGTAAAATGAAAAAAAAAAAAAAAAAAAATGACATTTTTTAAAATTTTTAAATTTGCCGCCGGCGGCGGCGGCGCCCTACGTCCCGACGTCACAGGGACAGGACACAGAAGCCGGATGCCGGCATCGGCCGGAGGAGATGGCCGGGGATGCTGCAGGGGACACATCGTGGGAGCGCAGGGTAAGGTAAGTGAAGAACACATACCGGAGCAGTGCCGCATGGTATTCCCGAGTGTAGCTCAGGGTTACCGCTTTTGGTACTGAAATGTTACCCCGAGCTACACTCGGGAATACCGCCAAGGAGGTTAAGGCAAATAAATAGGCTGTGCACTTTACAAGGGACTTTTCCCCAGAGCTTGGTGAATCGGGTGAGGTTTTGTTGACTTCCATCATCCAGTCATATGCATGCAAATACTGTTTTTTTTGTTTGTTTGTTTGTTTGTTTTGTTTTTTCCATGATTGGGTATTCTTTGGCACATCCACCAAGCTACTGGAGAAATCCCTTGCAATGTGAACAGCTTTTGATTTGCCTTTAGAAAATCAACCCCAGTGTTTTAATGCAAAAAAACAGGCATAGTTGTTTTACCACACCCAGCTAATGTTTATCTCCTGGGGTTCTGCCATATGTCTTTTGGTTTTCTGTCTTGCTATGTTGAGCTTGGAAACAGACATGGTGCATGGGTTGGACTGGTGCTTAGTGCTTGAATTAGATTCAGGGGAGACATCCCAGTGCTGATTTAGCATTTGAAGGCAAAGGTACAATCCTGACAGCAGTACACTTAGATCTGTTTATTACACCAACATCAAGAGCTGGTAGTAGACGGGCAATACAGAGTACAGATGCCGAAAATCAAATGCAGAACAGATATGTATCTTGCATGATATTGCTATCTGCCCTTCTGGTGCAATGCCAGTCTGAACATTAAAATTTTTACTATTTTCAGTACAGTAGATTGAATTAAAGTGTTACTAAACCCCGGACCCTGCATTCACTATATCTGGTCTCCCCAGACCCTGCATTCACTATATCTGGTCTCCCCGGACCCTGCATTCACTATATCTGGTCTCCCCGGACCCTGCATCCACTATATCTGGTCTCCCCGGACCCTGCATTCACTATATCTGGTCTCCCTGGACCCTGCATTCACTATATCTGGTCTCCCCGGACCCTGCATTCACTATATCTGGTCTCCTTGGACCCTGCATTCACTATATCTGGTCTCCCTGGACCCTGCATTCACTATATCTGGTCTCCCACAGTACACATAACATGGAAATGCAATTATTTTAGTAAATGTAAACTGCTAAATTCCTTTTCTCATCAGCAGTTAGAGCAGTCTTGTGACTTCAGCAGAGCACTGGTTAAAGCTTGTAGGAGGAGTTTTCTTTCTGCTCTAGGAGGATGCAAATCCCCTGATCCTCTGTCTGGACAGTGCTGATTGGCCCTGTGCTGATCACATGCACTTTCCCAAGGGAAAAAAAAACCCTGTCTCGCAATACACACTAAACTGAGCATGTGCAGAAGGGCAAGGGGTTCAGTCTGTCTTATCAGTGTGCACATTTGAACAAGAGGAGGGGCAGAAAAGTCAGGATGAAACAGCCTTTTTACACAATGCAGAGGATTAACCCCTTAGGTTCCACAGTGAGTATAACAGGCATGCTTTACTCAATATACAGACTGATTTTACTGTTGTGGGTTTAGTAACACTTTAAATGCCTTTTATGTTTTTGTATTTCAATTGTATTGGAAAAGTTTCATTAAACTCAAACTTGTCTCTCCCATCTCTAGGAATGCACCAACATTTTCTCCAAGGGTGGTGGCGAAGAGCTAGCAAAGCATGCTGGAGTCCCATTTCTGGGTAATTGAGAAAATCTTTTTATGTACCACTTTATATTTTATAATATTTAGTTGTTTGTAAAAACTCAAAACCTAAAGCTGAACTCCTGAAAAAAAACGTTAATTTAAATATATTCCTCAATAGTCACAAAGAATATAAATACACTTTGTGCGCACCAAATTCCTTTGCAAATCAAGTTATTACCTTGTAAAAGTGGTGGCATCATCTCTGTACTGCACATAGCCTGCACAGAGGGCAGAAGGTGGAGGGGGCAGAGACAAGACCAGTATTTTTCTTAATATATAATAGTGATTTCCACTGATCATCACCATCTAGTGGCCATAATGCGGTATTTTCCTGAAAAGCTTCAATCAGAAAAAAATATTGCAATATGGCCACTAGATGGAGCTGATCATAAGAAAACCACTGTATGAAGAAAAAAATGGACAGAATTTGTCAGCAATAGTAGAATGCTTGTGACATTCGTCCAACTATTTTTTTTTTTTGCTTTTCAAATGGACCCCCAAGGTTCAAGTATCTTTTATTTATATAGATTACATTTGATTATCCCAGAGGTCAGACTTAAAGGATTTAACCAAATTGTTTGACCACAATGTGCCAGGGCATGACGAGACACTTTGATAGAGGGCAGCATAGTGGCTAAATGGTTAGCATTTCTGCCTGGCAGTACTAGGGTTGTTCGAATCCCAACCACAGCACCACCTGCCTGGATTTTGCATGTTCTCCTTGTGCCTGCGTGGGTTTCCTCCGGGTACTCCGGTTTCCTCCCACACTCCAAAGACATGATGGTAGGTGAATTGGCTCCTGTCTAAATTGGCCCTAGTATGTGTATGAATGAATGTGAGTTAGGGACCTTAGATTGTACGTCCCTTGAGGGTTAGGGACTGATGTGAATGTATAATATATATGTAAAAGCACTGCGCAAATTGATGGCGCTATATAAGTACCTGAAATAAATAAAAATAGTGCTCATTTACAAAACACATGTTGACTAAAAGTACCTATGTTGTTTCTAACAACTTATCCAAAGCTAGCCCTCGTTTTCTTGATTGATAAGAACAACACAGGTGTTTGATTCCAGGGGTTTTGGGTCATTCTGTCTTTTTATTTTTCTGTTCAATAAATGTTTATTAAAAAAGAATTTCTAGGTATACATTATAACCGCTGTCATGTTTACAAATAGATACATGAGATCAATAGCTTACAAGCCAAGGCGGTTGTACATCCTGTACAAAAACTGTAACAAAAACAAAGCTTCTGGTGTATCAGATTGGTTCTTTGACCATGTTACATCAAAAGAAGAACAGCATAAAGTAACAACAGAGGAGCCATGTGCCTTGATTGAGGAATCAGGCGTTTGTTAAATGAGACATCGATGTACAAAATGCATTATACAAGAAACAAAATAAAAAATGCATAAGAACAAATCACAAATCATTCATTTTGCCTACTCTAAGGGGCTACCAAGTTCACTTGAACCTCCTCTGGATGTCTATTCTATATATATATATATATATATTCTTTATAGGATGTCTATTCTTACCTTTCCCACACTTAATGCTGCCACTGCAGCTCCTGAACTTTTCTGTGGAACTTTCTATACACACTAACAGGTGTCTGGTAAGCTCCAGCAGCGAATTAGTATGGTGGGGCTGTGATTAACACACGTGTACTTTACAATGTGTCCTGGTGATCATTGTCACCAGAATGGATAGTAACCCCTGGTTCACATATCATCCGTGTTCCTGTGGGCCGCGTTTTGCTCGGGCATGAGAGCCCATTCATTTGAATGGACTCCCGTGCCCCGTGACACGCAGGGAAGAAGTCTCTGCACTTCTTCTGCAAATGCAGCCCTCACAAGAACCTCAGTTCCCATTAAAGTTGCAATTTCCAGTGTGGGCAGCGTGCCATTAGAATTAATGGCACCTGCCCATGGGTCCGCATTCTTCTGTGTGGGTGGGGCGGCTGCACAGATTTTTGTGCGGATCCGCAGAGGTACCACCAGCACAAATGTGAACCAAGCCTTATTGGAATTCCAAAATGATAAGTTGATGGGAGTCATACTTCATAAGTAGCTCATCTTGGTAGTGCATTCTGTTAGCAATGAAGCAACTGCATAGATGTGGCCACTCTGCTTGGGTACAAGCCCATCAGGGTGAAACGAGTTGGCAGAGTGTGGTTTTTAGGGTGGAGACTACATCTAGGTGGTTGCTTTATTGCTGACAGGGTAAACTACTAAGATGAGCTAATTATGGAGTGCAACTACCATCTTCTTACATGTTTGTGTTGGAGTAGTGATGGACTAAAGGATCCAGCACCCCGGATGGTCCATGCATTTTAGGGGTGGAGGTGTGGAGCAGTGCTGTGTATTGGTTTGGAATTCCAAAATATCATGGTTGGCATCAGAATCATCAGAGGAGGTGAGGGTATAGCTTCTGGTAGGGACACCTGCTTTAGTGACAGCTCTTTTGGAAGGAAATTTAGAGATTCTCACCTCCTGTTATGTCTTCAAGGGGCACAGTAGGACACAGACAGCCCAACTGGGGACTTTTACTCTTTCCTACTCTATCCAAAACTGGAAAAATGTATTGGCTATACTGTACATACATGTTACATAAAGCCTTTATCTACAGTCTGCGACTAATCAAAAATTTAATTGACACTTTGATCTTCTTATCTGTTTCTTCCCTTCGCTCCTGACCCACTCTTTCCCTTCCCTCTTTCTTTCCTCTTCCTCTCCCCCCTGCCCCATGTCCTTTGCTCTTCCCCCCCTCCATTCTAGTTTCACTCACTGTCTCCTACTTTCATATGTTGATTTTTTTTTTTTTTTTAATCAATGTGCCTTGCCTATGTGGTGCCTGGTCCTCTGCATAGGGTTCCTCTTCCATGGTTTTTGGGATACCTCTGGTGACCCTGATGCTTTTATCTATATATGCTTTTCATCCCATAGTCCATGTCCTCAGGCGCTCCTTAATAGGATATTTATAGATATTCACAACGGCCTACTGCTTTCTTCACCTACTATTAGTCCCGACTATCATTTTTTCCCATTTTGTTGTTCCTGTTTGATGTATATTTCCAGTTTACTTCTGAACACCTCTGACTTGGTTATTTACATGCCATTTGTTATTATATTTCTGCATATATTGTACCATGCAACTTCTGGCTACATAAATAAAGAAATTACAGAAAAAAAATGTAACTGACTTCTTAGGCCCTTTGTATGCTGGTAATATAAGCTGTCTTGAAGCGGTAGTAAACTCCCTCTAGACACTTGTATATACAGTGAAGTTGCCAAAAGTCAGCCACCAAACTTTAAAGACTTGGAGAGGATCTGCCAAGAGGAGTGGGCCAAAATCCCTCCTGAGATGTGTGCAAACCTGGTGGCCAACTACAGGAAACGTCTGACCTCTGTGATTGCTAACAAGGGATTTGCCACCAAGTACTAAGTCATGTTTTGTGAAGGGGATCAAATACTTATTTCCCTCATGAACATGCAAATCAGTGTATCATTTTGTTAGACATGTATTTCTTTTGAATTTTTTGTTGCTATTCTGTCTCTCAGTGTTACAATACACCGAACATTTGATTTTTAGACTGATCATTTCTTTGTGAGTGGGCAAACATTCAAAATCAGCAAGGGATCAAATACTTATTTCCTTCACTGTACATGTACGCTTATAATAAAGCTTACCTGTAGGTACAAGGAACATCTCCTAAATGTGCACCGTTTAGGCGATATTCAGTGTCCCTGCAGCCGGTGACGTCACCAGTGCATGCATTCTGAAGGAACAGCATACCTGTTCCATCAGAGCTTGTGCCGCGGCCGAAACTCCTGCATGCATGCGCTACTCGGCCATTCAAGCGGCTAGAGTTTGTGAACCCAGAAGGAAAACCAGGTGAAGATGGAAGCCTTGTCAGCGGTGACAGTGTGCCGCTGGAGGGCTTCATTTCAAGGTAAGTCTTTCATAATGTGCTAGTATGCAATGCTTGCAGGGAGATTTTTTTTTTTTTTTTTTTTAAAGTAAAGTTTACGAACACTTTAACTGACCTTTTGTTGTAGATGAAGCAGGTTTACCTCTGTAGTAGATGTTCCCTGAAAAGTGCAGACAGTGGAGGTCAGCACAGATCTATTTCTTCGCATGGCCATCCTACATGGAGTCATGATACTGCTCATACTAAAATTTGAGCTGTGAGCTGTCCTGGGCTTTATATAGCATGCAGTGTGTTTTGTGCAGTGTGTATGTAACATGTTTTATGTAGTATGTCCCATATTTATGTATTACAACTCTTGTTTATCGCAGAAGAAAATTCAGAAATTGATGCAGGTCTACAGTACTGGATGTTAAGGTGCCATTAAATATTCAAAAAGTGTGAATTTGTATTTTCTTCCACTTTTTCAGGATGTGTCCCTCTTGATCCCAGCCTGACCCAAAGTCTGGAGGATGGCAAGGATTTTCTCCAAGAATTTCCCAAGAGTTCAACATATGCATCCATCACCAGCATTGCCCAGCAAATTTTGGACAAAGCTGCTAATTCCTCATCTTGACCTTGAATATTTTGAAGATGCAAGTCTACATCTGTGGAGAGGACTCTGAAAAAGATTAACTCTTTACCATGAAAGACTCATATATTCCAAAACAGGGGACTAATCACATTGCTGCTGGTGTGATGAGCCTGGACCTTGTGTTTCAGAGATGTCTATGATTACTAGTCTGTCTTAGGGCCTGTGTTGACGGGCTTTTGTTCGCTTCAAAAAGGTTTTGTATTCCTATGCAAGTCTATGGGCATGCCAATTGAAGAGGGTGAATTGCAGATCAGAAATAAGTCACCTGCAGGTCAAATGCACCTCTCAATAAATTCTGAGTGATCTCAGAAGTGTCTCAAACTGATGCCTTTGATACAATCACAAAGCCCCTAAAGTGACTCCGGCAAGCCAAAAAAAAGTTCCCTGCAAAAGAAGATTAAAAATACTTGTCAGGTGGGTGGTGACTGCTATCTTCACTTTTTTGATGAACTATTGAGGCTGAAGCATCTTCAGTGTCCACCTGTAAGCCACATTGTCCCTACTGTGTTGTGTACCAATGCACAGTGGGGTAAGTGGTAGCTAACACACAAAGGTGCATATTTATGAAGAAATGAATCTAACATTCACTAAACATTCAAAATGCAAGTGAAACTTCCAAATGCATGAATTTTAAAAGACGGCGATTGATTACCCACCAATACTTACTGAAGGCTCGTTTAGTTCATTATAAATGTGCCTTAAAATGTTGGATGCTGAATATTCTTCAGCCACTATAGGTCCACAAGAGATCGGAGCCACCATATGCCAGACAGCCAAGCATTTATAATCTTTTTTTATAGGGGACTTTTCTAAAAAAAAAAAAAAAAATGGCTGTTCTTTGAGTCACTCTAAGCTAGCTGCAACCCTTACAAAATAATTGTGCAAAATCTTGTATATTTACCAGAAATAATATAGTGTAAGAGCCTAGCTATACCATCAATTCAGTTTATATATGTAATCAGGTAGACCCACACATCACAAATGCTTTTGCGAAAGATTGTACAAGCAGATTTCAGTATTTGCCCAGGCTTAAAGTGAGACATTGTTTTTCAGCCAATGCTGTCATTTTTTTTTTTCTGAGAGTTTATAAACTGATATTAATATTTTTCTTTTTGTGTGAAATCTTTATTCTATACATAAACATTTAATACAGGTACAAGCCATTGTTCAGAGTGTGCTGTGCATTCTGGGCTTCTGCTGAGAAAGCCCAGAACTAATATTGCTCTTTTAACTGCTCCTTCAGACTGAAGTTGTAGACAGTATTAAGTACGGGTTCACTCTAATGCGGCACGGGAAACGCTGCAAATAATGTGATCTGGTGCGGGTGTCAATGATAAATTAATGACACCCTGAAACATCACAAAACGCAACGCAAGAAATTGCATCGCATGGGTGAGAACTCATAATTCAGATGCGGATAAAAAAAAAAGGGTCCTGCACCTTTTTGGTATGGATGTGATATGATTTGAGCCATGTGATATAAAATCGCACCGCACAGACATTCGCATGTAGTTTGCACAGGAATGCGGTGTGATTTTTGCGCAAATTACATGCGGTGTTCTGCACCGCATTCGTGTGGACCCAGGCTAAGGAAGATTTATTAAAACTAGTTCAGCTGTGCATTGTAACCAATCAGCTTCTTTTTTTTTTTTTTGTAGAAGTATATTTTGAGGTTTGTACATACAATCAGCTTCTAACTTCAGCTTGTTCAATTAAGCTTTGACAACAAAGTCTAGAAGCTGATTGGTTACACAACTGCTCCAGATTCTGTGTGCACCAGTTTTAGTAAATCTCCCCCATTTTTTCTGCTTAGAAGAAGTATCCCTTCTCTGAGTCATAAAAAATAAAAAAAGAGGAAGAAAGAGTGTTCTGATTCCCACAGGTTGAATAGCTGGGGATTTAAAGAACACTAATATGAATTAACATAGTTAATCCCGGGGTTTCAAGTGCTCTCAAACTGTAGCTGTTTATCTTCAGTGATGCTGGCTAGTTTCTAAACCAGTATATACTGGAAATTTAGATTTAAGTTGGGAATGGAGATACTGGCGGGGATTTGCACGCTTGAGTGTTTAAAGTGGCTGTAAACCTTTATGTATACCAACTGAAAGCCTCAGGTGACACACAGAGATGAAACAAACCCTCCTACATATATTGTACCTGTTTATCTGCAGCCCCCTCTTCTCTACAGCCTTCTAAAACACACAGATCAAAGACTATTTTAAATGCTTCCTGCCTGGCCTATTGTAATATGACAGGCGGGTGGGGGAGCATTGTTGCTGCATCAGTAACATGTTAGGAAATGTGAACCTATCCTTTAATCAGCATGGATGGTCCAGATTATCCTCCCCAGGGTTCCTCCCATGGTGGCATTGCCTCCCAGGATACTTTATGGTATCCATAGATTGCAGAGCAGGCTAATCTAGAAGCTGTGCATGGAAGGTGAGCTTCAGCTTGTCCTCATCATTGTGATCAAGTGTCAGTCCCTCCAGCACCTCTCCCCATCACCTGGTGTGGAGTCTGGAGTGATGGGAGAGGAATGTGGAGATGGACACTATCATTGGACATTTATATCTAAATACACTGTATATACACTGTAAACTGATTAAGTCCCCATCATCCTCTGCAAACCAGCTAAAAGTTAAAAACAGGAAGCCTGTCAATGCCTGCACCAGCTCTCAGCAAAAGAAAAAGTACAGAGGAAAATTTATTCATGCAACATGACATCAGGAGCCTCTCCTGTCTGCAGCTCTGATAGTGCCATATTACATGCACTGTTGGTAATTTGTAGGTTTGGGTTTAGACCGCACTCAGAGTTCAGGAGGTGGAGTTTGAGACTCCTAAAGAAATTTTGGAAGAATCAGAAAAAATTTAAAAGTTAATTATTTAGGGTAATAATGGTAAAATAAAAGATTAGACAGAAATGAAAATATTTGATCTGCAAGAATGCTTTAAATGAAGTGATAAGGCTCAATTCACAATGTCACCATAGGAATAAAGCTCCTTTAAGCCATAAGACTGTAAGGGTTAAATTATATTAGACTCAGATGGAAGTAACTGTCACTTTAATTTAAAAGGAAAAAATCTGCTGATGTATTAGATCTGTATACTGAGTGAGAGTCATGCAACTGTGCCTTTATAAAGCAGCTCCAGGCAAAATGCTGTCAGAAGCAGAGTGCTCAGTGACCAGTGCAGACCTGTCTTCCAGAGTGCTTAGTGCATTTATTATTTTTGTCCAAAGGAGCCTGGAAAGCATTTCACCAGTGATCAGTAGATCACTGATGCTATGCAGGTCTCCTGCAGACCTGTCAGAATATCTTCTTGCCGTACGGGATGTACAAGCAAGCAGATATTCTGACAGGAAGCTTGAATGTGCTCCTCAGCGCCATTGCAGTTCATTGAAAACTACAAGCCAACAGCCACTAAGGCAGTAGTGACTTGTAGGCACTCATTCGTAGAACACTGAGAATGAGTGATGCAGCCGTGTGGGCGGAGCCTCGCCTGTTTTCAAATCTAACATATAGTACGGGGAAAGGTTTTATCTGTCAGATGATGGGGGGGGCGGTGGGCATGGCTGCGGCTATGTTACATGTTTCACCCTAAAAGCAGGTGAAACATGTAACATGTTCCAAAGATGAACGTATCCTTTAACACCAATGATAAACAGGCCAATGGAAGAGCACATATGGAAGGGGAGATCATTGAACAACTTGCAGATTCCCCAACCAAGAAGCCGACAAAGATGAAGAGGGTTTGAACTTTCCTACATGGTGGCATTAGAGCTGCTACTGAATGGTTTCCTGGAATTGGCCCAAACCTGAAGACAAATAACTGGATAGGTAAGTATTGTGGATATTCATAGATACAGTACCTTGAAAAAGTATTCATACCTCTCGAAAGTTTGTCATGTTACAACCAAAACCATTGGGATTTTATGTGATAGAGTGGCACATATTTGTGAAGTGGAAGGAAAATGATTTTCAAAATTTATTACAATTAAATATCTGAAAAGTGTGGCGTGCATTTGTATTCAACCCCCTTTACTCTGATACCCCTAACTAAAATCTAGTGGAACCAATTGCCTTCAGAAGTCACCTGATTAGTAAATAGAGTCTATGTGTGTAATTTAATCTTAGTATAAATACAGTTGTTCAGTGAAGCCCTCAGAGGTTTGTTAGAGAACATTAGTTTACAAACAGCATCATGAAGGCCAAGGAACACAACAGAAAGTTCAGGGATAAAGTTGTGGAGATGTTTAAAGCAGGGTTAAGTTATGAAAAAAAATCCCTAGCTTTGAACATCTCATAGAGCACTGTTCAATCCATCAACTGAAAATGGAAGAAGTATGGCACAACTGCAAAGCTACCAAGACATGGCCGTCCACCTAAACTGACAGGCCGGGCAAGGAGAATCCACCAAAATGTGATGTTCACATTAAGACTACCCGTTTGTAACGTTCAAATTGAGATTCCACCAAAATGTGATGTTCACATTGAGACGTTCACATTGAGATTCCACCCGAAATGTACGTTCACATTGAGACTTCTACCCGATTGTACGTTCACATTGAGATGTGACGTTCACATTGAGACTCTACCCGATTGTAACGTTCACATTGAGATTCCACCAAAATGTGACGCTCAGATTGAGACTCTACCCGATTGTAACGTTCACATTGAGACTCTACCTGAATGTGACGTTCACATAGAGGCTCTACTCTATTGTGACATTCACTCTGTGGCTCTACCCCATTGTAATGTTCGCATTGGTATTCCACCGGAAAGTGACATTTAGATTGAGACTTCATCAAAGAGTGACATTGAGATTGAGAAGCCCCCCAGAACTAGGGAGATTGTCCCAATGACATTGGATGGCTTCAGATTCCATTGCTTCCTCAGAGAAGGAGGTTTTGGAAAGCTAAGTGGTCAGATCTTTTCTATAATTTAAAATCCTCAGATGGAGCGGGGGAGAATTAGCACCCCTGT